CTTTTGTGTCATGCTAAACAAAGGGGATGGATTGTCTTGCCTTCCTAACCGAGCGTTCACTTGCTTTGGGAGGATTTTTGGCTCAAGAATGGGATAAGATCTTGAACTAAACAAGGAAGTTCCAGTTGTGCAAATGAGAGTATTCTGCTTAGAGCACTCATTCCCTCTCCTTTGCACGACCGGTTGCACAATTACTGCAAAATCTGGCATGTGGCCAGGTGCACAACCAAACGAAGGAAAGCGTCAACACTTACACACAAGTGTATCTCAGCTGGAATTATTGCCACCATCTTTGCATTTCCAAGATTATTATTATTCTAAGATTATTTACTGCCAGATAAAATCCGACCTCTCAGTATTTATTTGTCCTTCAGTATGGTTTAATACAGGGACGTGGTGGCGCTGCGGGCTAAACTGCAGAAGCCTGTGCTGCAGGGTCAGAAGACCAAGCAGTCGTAAGATCGAATCCACCCGACGGAGAGAGCTCCCGTCGCTTGTCCCAGCTCCCGTCAACCTAGCGGTTCGAAAGCATGCAAATGCAAGTAGATAAATAGGGACCACTTCAGTGGGAAGGTAACAGTGTTCCGTGTCTAAGTCGCACTGGCCATGTGACCATGGAAGATTGTCTTCGGACAAAACGCTGGCTCTATGGCTTGGAAACGGGGATGAGCACCGCCCCCTAGAGTCGAACACGACTGGACAAAAATTGTCAAGGGGAGCCTTTACCTTTACCTATGGTTTAATACTGCTGTTTTAATTTTGTTTTGATGCTATATTTTTAGTTTGGCTGTAGTTTACCTATATCGTCAATTTTTCTACCTGACAGAACAAATTCAGGATGCCTAGAGTGTCCTTTTAGGCCAGATGGGCAGGGTATAAATCAAATAAATCAAATAACTCAAATAAATAAATAAATAAATAAGTTGTTTTTTAAAGCAAGATTTCCAAGCTCTCGATTACAAAGAAGCCTCTTTCTGAACCTAAGGCAGAGGCAAACTTTTCCAAGATGTTCTCTGTATAAGACGTCTTAAACAAACAAACAAACAAAACAACGACCTTTGGTGCTAGGCTGCTGCAAGGCATTTTGTGTGGCCCTGCCCTTGAAGCCATGATAGAGTGAATCTCACCCTACCCTTAGATCAGGAAAGCCAACAAAGGTCTACTCGCTGCTCTTAACCAGGAACCGCAGCACAATGTAGCCTTCTTTCCTCCAGCAGCAGAGCCTGTTCAATTTCAATGGTCCAAAGTGAGCAGGACGGGACACGAATACGGTCCTCACCTTGAGAGTCGGTGAGCGGCTGGTGCTTTCCCTGTCGGACTTCCCAGTACATGGTCGTCTTTGCTGGATTTAGAACATTCTGCTCAGGCTTGTCTGAAAAAAGGCTGACAGAGGTCAGATTCCCAGCCTCCTGCAAAGGAAAGCATCCTTTAGCCCATCTTCAGAGGACAATACATTAGGTGAGAGCACAAAGTGCTGTCCTCTGAAGATGCCCATGGCCACAGAGACTGGCAAAACGTTAGGAAGAACAACCTTCAGAACACAGCCAAAGAGCCCGAAAAACCCACAACAACCAGGTTGTGAACTAATTTGCACACTAGCTGGGTTGCATAATCCTCAGGCGGTTACACACATTTTATCACACCTTACAAACTTAAAATCCAAGATACCTTTCCTTAGTGCCAGTCAGGACGGTATTAAACTGCAAATATGATCTAAATCAAACCCCTTTCCAAGTATCTTGTTTTATACTGTCCCAGCCACTTCGAGCTGGTCTCTTAGATAGCTAATTCAGATTTTCTATTAGTAAAGCTAAGCTTTACATGGTGTGGATGTGTTTTTGTTCGTTAGTAGTCTGAGTTCCTTATTCTTAGTTCCACTTTGCCAAATGCAACACTCTAATGCACACACAGAAAGAAAGAAAGAAAGAAAGAAAGCTGGTCTCTAGCTAATTCAGATTTTCTATTAGTAAAGCTAAGCTTTACATGGTGTGGATGTGTTTTTGTTCGTTAGTAGTCTGAGTTCCTTATTCTTAGTTCCACTTTGCCAAATGCAATGCAAC